AGAGCCTCCACTGAAAAATAAAGATCACCACAGACCCAAGGAGAAAAATGGGGGAACAACCCCACAGGGACAGAGCCCTCAATGTAACAAATAAGACTGGTCCCAGGTTTTGCACTTCAAGACTGGGACGTCCAAGAAGAGGTGGTTCTCGTGGTTATTTTTTTAACAACGTAATAATTTATCAAGAGCAAAGCCCAGAGACTCTGACAGGTCATAATCTTCAATTCTTTGGTTTGGGCTAAATTTTGCTTTTTACTATGTTCACATGCATGAAGTCTTGGTCCTTGTCACAGTAGCGTGGGACAATTTGCCAGCCCCTATGGAGAATGTTCGGTGAGTGAACACCAGCCTACAATCCTTCACCATCTATTTACTGAGTGTCAGGCCCTCCTGGTATGAGTTTTAGGTAATCAGACTCCACCACTGTGGGGCACCTGCTATACCTTGAAGGAATCTAGTTCTTCTGGAATCACCGCCCCATTGCTAACCTGGTGCCACTAGAAAGTTCCACCCTGCAATCGGAATAGTGACTCACCAGAGGGCAAAGGACTTCTGCTCCAGCCTCTCTCCCTGCATGGCACAGGAAAAGTTCATGAAGCCAAGGGAAAGAACCTGGCCAGCCTATGGTCACGGCTAGAGTCACTTCTTCCCCCAAACTACTGTAACTCTCCTACGTTCCCCTTCTGTTGATAGTAAAGCATCATATAGCAGCAACCATTTTTGTAGTAGCTTTTTCCTAGTACTTTCCATTTCTACACAGTACCCTTTTTATTGAGTTTAATTTCTTTTTTTAAAAAAGTAACTTGCATGAACTAAAATGTTAATGGTTTAGGGAGCAAAATGATGCCTAGATGGTCACTTCTGAAGCAAATACCCTGCTTGATTCAGTGGTTTAAACAGCAAACAGCTTCTATGTGCTCAGGAGGCCTGCCCATCAATGTATCTATCAATAGACACCCCGTGCCCCTGCCCCTATCTCAGAGCACTGACATTCACATTCCAAAGCATTCCAATCCTCCATGGTAGCCTAATGGGCAACAGGAACTTATCACTACAAACTGGCTAGAGGTAGGAATTCACGACTGAATGGAGGAGGCAAAAATATACCTACTTTGATGCTGTAGGTTCTGGACGTTTCCTATCCTGCAGTGACGTGACCCTGGAGTTTCTGCATCTCACACAACCACACTTGTGTTCATAGTGAAATCAAGTACAGTTTTATTTAAGAATCGGAAAGAATAATCAGTATCTGTGAAAGAAAATCCCATTTAAAATATTTAAATAAACATCTCTGTATGTAAAAAGAAGAGTAGAATAATTACTCTGTTAAATTACTCTCCTTGTGACGGTATGGGCTGCCTCCACTCAGGATGGGCTGGACATGGACGTCCATGATATGTGTCAAGTCTTTTACAGCAGGACATGGACAGTGAGCATGTCCCACCACGAGAGGGTGAGGTCTTCTAACTCTGCCAAATCACTACAAAAGCAGACTACGGTGGGACATCATACTACCTACAGCAGTAGAAAGTGCAGAGGAGGCACAGTGCTTTACCGTGCCTGCTATGGGGGCTGCTACCCACGAGCTGTGGTCAAACCTTACCAGCCTGACTGGCTAATAGGAATGTTTTTCCCTGTCATGTCAATCCCCCAGATGAGCAGATAAATGGAAGGGATTAATAAAGCGTCCTTTTTTTAGGCTCAAGAAGCAGTTCACACCAATGAAAGGACGTCAGGTACACTGTCTTTTGCTCTCTACCCTGCTAATGGCTCACTCTCCTCTGTCTGTAAACCGCCACTCTCAGCTGCAGTTGGCAAACCCTCCTGAAATGTTTCAGAGGAGCTTTGTTGTGTGCGGTACCCGTTTTCCACTTAAGAATCTCCACCTTAAAACCTACAATGGAAAAAGAAGTCCCTTGAGTTTCTTCAGCTGAGGAAGTGGGTGATGTGGCCTTTACAGTGAATACATGAAAAGCCGTTTACTTCATTAACTTGATTCTCTGTCATGGGCCAGTCACTGCTAAATTTACAAAGTTAAAAATAGGGGTCAGCGACTGCAGTTCAAGTCCCAGATCTGGCAGCTTAAAATTCACATTGGGCGCATGTGTGGACATGCCCAAAATCCCAAGAGGAGGATGGAAGAGAAGGGATTGTGGCATGGCCATCCCCCTTGATTTCTCACTTTCCCTCTCTGTCTCTCTTTGGTCAAGCACACTTGCCCTGTGGGGGGGTGGGGGAACTCAAAGCACAGTACTGGATGAAAGTTAACCAACCACTTGCCAAATCCTGCCCTCCAATAGTTCATCTTTTATCCCTAGTCATTGCTGATTTCTGCCCTGAGATTATAACAATGCTCTCTCATCACCTCACCCCTGAAATTACTCTTTAAAATGGAGCAGAAGACAATGTCAGGTCCCCCATGGTATGAGCAGCATCTTACAGCAAAACCCTAAAACCTTTGACCTGGGTTCCCTAAAGCTGCTGGGCCTGATGTAGTGGGCTTTCTGGCCTCTAGCACATCAAATGCCAACACCTTTGTCTAAATATCCACAAATCAAGGGCCATCATAAGCTGCTCTCTATCAAAAGACAACTGCAAGGGCCAGCAGATGGTATAGTAGTTACATCACTGGACTCTTACATGGCCGAATACAGTTCAAGTCCCAGACCCAGTGGCTTGAAAATCACGCCAGTGTATGTGCATGCATGCCCAAGGTCCCAGGAGGAGAATGGAGAAGAAGGGTTTGCAGCATGGATATCCTTCCTGGGGGGGAGGGGGGAGCTGATTCCTCACTTTCCCTCTGTCTCCCCGACCCCCGCACACACCCTAAGGCAAAAACCTCTAAAAAAAAAAAAAAAAAGACAAGACAACTGCATAGCCCCAGTGAGAATGGAGGCTGAGTCCAATCCTACTAAGAAGCAGCAAGAAATAATTCCCCCTCAAAGAGCTGGGGATGGGCTGAAAACCCAATTACTCCCTCTCCCCCTCTGCAATATTAGTAAGTGGAGCTTTCTTTGCTAAGGGTAGTCTAGAGAAATTTAAGACTTTGATTCAATTCCAATTCTCAAACAGAGCTAATGAGTGTTGACATCTCACTGGGGATCATTCACTCCAGAGAAACTCACTGCTGATGGCGTCAGTCATAGCCCTGGCCGGAATCTCACTGCATGGCCATCAAATCCAGCAGTGGGATGCCAGTAATCAATGAATCCATAAACCTCTTTGGTATATATAAGAATGAAAAAAGCAAGCCATGAAATCTAGAAATAAGTAATATTTCTGAGTTGGTAAAATGCTCTTTTCAACATACATTTTAGGTATCTGGTAGAGTAAACCAAATGTCTGCCCATTTTTATGTAACTCATATACAGTATAGATTTCATTTATATCATCCCCTTCATCTAAGTATTAAAAACATTTGACATTTTTTTTTTTGTCTAAGTCCTCACAACACCCCTGTGAGGTAGGTGATATTGACCCCATTCTACAGATGGGGAGGTCTAGGCACGGAAAGGTTTAGTGGCTCCTTGCAAGCTATGTGGCACGGTGACAGAGCAGTGCCCTGGCCACTTGCCACCACGGCCTTCACATTCGCTCTGCATTAGTGCCACCACAAAACTGCACGGAAGGATCTCACACTGAGGCTAAGTTCCTGTCTAGTCTGGAATTAAGCAATGGTCTCACCTCTTAAAGCTTCTATGTTTGATGTATAAAGCCGACTATTCTTCCCCAAAATTGTAAAACAAAAATACCGACTGAATCATGGTGGGGATTATTTGCTCTATTTGAGACTATTTTTGAGAGTCGATCTGCTTGAATTTGTAGCTGTGTATGCTCAAACCCCTTGGGAAAAGACAGTTGGAAATGGCATGAGAGATGACTTAATTTTGAGAATGGAACATAGAAAACGATGAAAAGATTTACACTGAAACACAAAAATAAACTGTGGTGAAATGAGAGTAGAATCCCAAATAAATGAAGAGCAGTATTTTTCAACATTTAACGATGCCTTGCACAGAGCAGGTATTCAGTAAGCACGGCTTAAATAAAGGGAAAATGACACATCTTTGACCGGCCTGTCGCCAATAACAGGAAGAGAGCAAGAGCCAAGACCCTCTAGAAAAGCCCCTGGTGGCCCATAGTCTCCAGGCCTAGGGTGCCATGGTCACATAAAACCACACTTGGGCAAATCGTCTGGAGGTGTCTATGCTGACTTGTTGCCATATAAAAGTTGGAGCCAGAAACACCAAGTGAGTCCCCTTTAAACTTATACTGCTATTTATAAAAAATAGATATGTAAATACGATTAAATATGTGAAGCGCCAAAGCACTCTATAAGGAAGTATCTTTGAAACTGTATAGATGCTCATGCACTTAAGGACAGAAATAAAGAGGTTAAAGCTGTGCTGTTTGTGTCGTCCGGTTAAATTAAAGGTTGTACGTGGACTTGGAATGCTGATAAGCAGTGATGCCCGCTACCCCTTTCTGCCGTAGAAGCAATACTGAGAGCAGAGAGTCCTGGTGACAACTTAAACACACCCTGGCCCGGGGCGGGGGTCAATGGGCTGTGGCCTGGGTTCTCACCGGGTCTCTGCTGAAGGGGCACTGTTGAATATTGCTGTGATTTTCTCCTTGTTCATCTTTAATCTATGCCCTACCTTGATTCAGCACAAGAACAGATTGCTCTGGTGGGCCCTTCGGTCCGAAGGCCTTCTGACCATTTGGTCTTGAGTGACATTCCAGAAGAATAATTAATTAGTGACATATAAAATGATTAAGAAAATTCATTCCACAGCGTGGCCGACCGGAAGCAGTTTTGTCCAGGCTGTACCAGGTCAGAGGCCCCTCGGTCCCTCCTGACCACTGCCCATCATAGCTCCACCTTCACTCCCTTTATGAAAGGCAGGCCTGTGGGCACCCTCTTCTTATACTCCAAGTACTCCTCTCCAAAAAAGTGAATTAACGAGATCTCTTCTTCTTCTGTTCGATCACGGAAGAATCGCCACACCGTCAGGGCATAGCCAACACCGCAGATGGGGTTACAGAGCATCACCTGACAGAAGAAGACACCAAGTTATCATGGTGAGTGTGGCCCGTGTACTTTTGCCAGCATCTGTTTCCCTCCAACACCCAGGAGATGTTTGTGCCCAGTCCCAGGAGACTCCTACAACACTGCTAGGGTCTGAATGCATGCTGATACTTTCACTTTAGAACTGAACCCTCATCACTGTGGCTTTTTTATATACCTTACTGTTGCTCATCTTTAACTGAGAGATATCTAACAATGACAAGGAAAGGTCAATCTCTTTGATTACAACCCTCAGGTCAGGGTTGTAATCCCTAATATGAATTCCCCAAAACAAGGAGTGTAATTCCAATACTGTCTTCCTGTCCAGCTCCCTGCCCTCCCACTCCCCCAACTAGATTCTGTGCCATAAAGTCAGTTTAGTGCGGCATGAGCAGCTCCACAGAGAAGAAGACAGGAAGCAGAGTGTTTTGTCCATAGTAAGAGTAAGTACTGTTCCAGGAAAGATGTGTTGCACATGTTCTGGGGCACAATGTAAAACAACTGTAGTCAGATTGGTACGAAAAGCTCCTAAGTCCCAAAGCACATGGTATACAAGGTGGTTAAGGCGCTGGATCCCACATGGTCAACCACAGTTTGAGTCCCAGAAGTGGTGGCTTGCTTTCTCTCTCTTTCTGCCTCTCTCTGGTGAATGCATGTGTACCATAGCAAACAAAATAATAACAATAAATTAATTAAATTAAATAAATAATAATTTTAGGGGGAAAAAAAAGTTCACAGAATGGGACCAGCAGATGGCATAATGCTTACATTGTTGGACTCCCACAGAGTCAACCATGGTTCGAGTCCCAGAACCAACACTTGAAACTCAGGCTGGGTGCATGTGCATGCATGCCCAAAATCCCAAGAGGAGAGTGAAGGAGACGGGACTGCAGCGTGGCCATCCCCCGTAGGGGGTGATTTATCATTTCCTATCTCTCTGCCTCTCTCTGTCTCTCTGGCAAGCGCCCATGCCCTATAGCAAAAATATCTCAAAAAAAGAAAACAAAACAAAACAAAACTCATGCCAGGCACGTGTGCATGTATGCCCAAGATCCCAAGAGGAGAATGGAGAAGGGATTATAGCGTAGCCATACCCACTCCCGGGGTGGGGGGTGTGGTGGTAAGTTCTTACTTTCTGTTTCTCCGGCAAGCGCCCGCGCCCTATAGCAAAAAAAAAAAAAAAAAGGTCACCAAAGGCGCCAGCAGGTAGCATACTAGTTAAGGTGCTGGACTCCCACACAGTCGACTGGTTTGAGTCACAGACCTGGTGGCTTGAAAATCATGCCAGGTGCATGTGCATGCATGCCCAAAATCCCAGGAGGAGAATAAGGAGAAGGGATTGCAGTGTGGCCACCTCCCCTGGGGGGTGATTTCTTGCTTTCCCTCTCACAGTCTCTCTCTCTTTAAGAGGTTTTTTATCATAGGATGTGTGCACTTACTGGAGAGAGAAAGACAGAGACAGTGAGAGGGAAAGTGAAAAATTACTCCTCACAGGAGACGGCCATGCCACAATCTTTTCTCCTCCATTCTCCTCTTAGGAACTTGGGCAGACATGCACATGTGTCTGGTCTGAGTTTCAAGCCATGGGTCTGAGACTTGAACCATGGTCGGCCATGTGGGAGTCCAGCGACAAAACCACTATACCATCTGCTGGCCCCAGCACAATCTCTCTTTGAACACAGGCGCCCGCCCAATGGCAAACTCCTTTAAAAAAAAAAAAAAAGTCATGGGAAATGTGTACTATGAAACTATATGAATATTACACGTATTTTTACACCAAAATAAACTCATGTACCTTTATTATCATTATTATTAAAATTTTTCTATAAGGTATGTGTGCTTACCAGAGAAAGAAAAAGAATGCACCTGCTAGGGGGATGGCCTTTCTGCAATCCCTTCTCTTCCATTCTCCTCTCTAGATTTTGCACACACACACACACACACACACACACACTTGCCTAGCATTTTTCAAATTGCTGAGTCCAGTACTCAAACCAGACAGTCAGCCATGTGGGATCCAGCCCTCTTAACCACATCACCAGCTGGCCTCAAACTCATACTTTAAATCCATTTCTCCACAAGTTTTTTAAGTCCCCTCATATAGTAAGCAAACATTTATGGCAAATTATCTTACTCAACTATTCCCAGAGATTATGAATGATCATTAATAGGGAAGCTCTATATGTTTCAGAAATACAAAATGTAAAATAAATGCTGTTGGTAATTTGCCCCACTAAACCAGAGAGTCCCTAGAGAGTCCCCATGGACCAGGCATTAACAACAGAATGTCTGGGGGCCCTGAAGGGATTTTCTCCAAAGATAAGATTAATTTTTTTTTCTTTTCTCTTTCTTTTTTTTTTGGAGAGGTTTTTGCTATAGGGTCCATGCACTTGCCAGAGACAGAGAGAGAAAGTGAGAAATCACCCCACATGGGGGATGGCCACACCACAATCCCTTCTCCTTCAGTCTCCTCTCGGGATCTTGGGCACTCACATACATGTGCCCAGTGTGAGTTTAAGCCACTGGGTCCAGTACTAGAACCGCGGTCGACTACATAGGAGTCCAGCGACATAGGCATTACACTAACTGCTGGTCCCAACAAGGTGAATTTTCTAAGGTCTGCTCACATTCTCTGGCCAAGTCTTTCAAGGATCAAGAGTACAAATCAAGAGATAGTTGTCAAGAAACAAAGCCTTGGTCTGCAGCCTGAGACAGAACAAACCTCTACAGTTCTCATTAACCTAACACTGACCTTGGCCTCATTAACACCTAGTTCTGTGAAAACTGGTTAACCCATCACAAGTGTGGCAGAGGGCACTTCCTCCTCAAAGTCCTATCTCTGTCCCAACGCCACTAGGGTGCTCCAGATGTAAGTTCAAGAGGCAGAAGTGGTGTGCCAGGGCGGGTGATAGCACTGAGAATCATCAAGAATTTATCATGCCTGATTCTTTTTTTTTTTTAAGAGAGATTTTTGCTATAGGGCGCATGTGCTGGCTGGAGAGACAGAGAGACAGAAAGCAAAAAACCACCCTCCTGGGGGGTGACCACACCAGAATCCATTCTCCTTCACTCTCCTTTCAGGATCTTAGGCACACATGCACCTGCACCTGATGTTGAGTTTCAAGTCACTGAGTCCAGGACTTAAACCACGGTCGGCCATGTGGGAGTCCAGCGACATAACCACTATGCCATCTACTGGTCCCATCATGCCCAGATTTTATGTACGTAGTAGTAAAAACATTAAGGACTAAATTAGTTCTCTTGACTTTTTTTTTTTTTAATAATTTTTTAAACTTTATTTATTTAAATTTGACCAGAGAGGGACAGAGTGAGAGAGAAAGTGAGAACATAAGCTGCCAGGTCTGAGACTTGAACCGCAGTCAGCCATGTGGGAGTCCAGCACCCTTAACCACCACACCACCTGCTGGCCCAGTTCTCTTGACTTTTATTTGGTTATCACTCGAAACACACTAGAGAGTACATATGCCTATGTATTTATTATTACTATTATTGCATGTACCTATTTAAAGGACACCAACTTTGTGAATATACTAAAAACCACTGAATTGTACACTTTAGAGATAGTAGATTTTATGGTATGTGAATCATACACAATTTTGAAAATGTAAAAAAAATAAATTAGGGAAACTAGTGTTATATTTGATACTATACCTGAGTTCCGATACTCCAGTAAAACCACCCAACATAGGAAGGATGCCGGAACCAAGCGTACACTCCGCTTGTCACCAGAGTATGGGTATCTGATTTTTCATTTTGCACCACGTGGTTGAAATTGGAACCAGCTGTAAACATGGCTGCTTTCCTCAGACATTCTCCAAAGACCACCATAAGCAGCCCAGTGGCACTGAGCCAGGAGATCTGCTTCAGTTCTGCAGGAGACAGACATTGGTGACAGAGAGCAAAAGCACTGGACTGTTGAGCTCCCCTCTTCGCTGCTTAAAATTAACCTATTTTCCCAAGCATAGAAACATCAGAAAACAAGCTTGTGGGCAATTAGCATTTGCCATCACATGAAAATTTAATGATAAGAAAGCGCGTTCCCCTAAATTGTGCTGTTCATCCATTTACTTTAGTGCCAATAAGCCAATTACAGTGTCAACGTGAAGAGGACCTCCTCTCTAAAGCTGATGGGCTCCCTGGTTCAGGTTTCTATGCCATCCCCATAGTCATGTCCTTCAGGTGGGATGAATACAGCTAAGAGAAGCAGAGAAAGGTCCAGGGTTTCCAGCCTGAATCCTGGGGCCAGATACATTTTTATTTCATTGGTGTAGGAAGTTCAGAGTAGGTTCTAGATGCAAAGGTTTTTGCCAGCAAAATCTTCAGATGAAACTTCTCAAGTCACAGAAAATGCACAGATCACACGGTGTCTGACTGTAAAATGAGGATTATGACTATCGAAGTTTGAGGCTTCATAATAGATAGTACACTATGTTATGCAAGGTTTACAGCAAAAGGTCAGTGCGTCCTCAATTCAAAATCCAGAAGTGGAATTCCGGAGCAGAGCTTGTCCTTTATAAATAGCTTAGTGAAGATAGAGGCCTGGGGGAAATCGCTCAGGGGAGATTAGACCTGAAAGGTGAACCAATGTCACCATCCTCAGTCTGCGTAAATGCCACCCTTCTACAGGTGGAGGAAAGTAGGGCACTAACCTGGCCAAAAGATGTTTTCAAGTGTGAACTCTATCCAAGAAGAAAGAGCAGCCACTGTATACTCCAGACTGTGATTCAGGAGAAAGGAATCCAAGGACAAACTTTTGGGATTATTGACAGCTGTCACTAAGTATTCAGAATAATGGAATAATGACAGGGAGCACATGTACCTATTTAAAAACAAAAAGAGAGAGAGATAAATTGGGGTAAGTGAATACAGTTAACCATAAGTAAAAAGAGAGATTTGGGCTTGCTGAACTGTCCCTAATTCTTTGAGGGGGTCCTACTGTCATGTATGAGTGAACATCAGGCACCCACACATAGCATTTACTCTCTCAGGTTTACAGAAAATGGGATTTTTAAGGGACTATGTTTCTGAATGTCACAGACCAAAAAAATTAAATAAATAAAAAGGTCAGAGAGGCATTATGGACCCTTTGGTCCTTTTAAAATGACATTATATGTGGTAAAACATGAAACTGAGAAATATCAAAATAAAGTGATATGTCAGATATTAAATTAAACAAAAATGAAATAATTCCAGCAAAGAAGGATTAGAGGGCTCAGAGCATTGAGAATAGGAGATAAAACGTTTTACCTTGATGCCACTGGTTCCTATCCAGGTCAGAGACTAGAAGGCTCAAGGGACTGAACTCACAACATAGGGGGAAATCCTCCACCGGCCTTAGGGGCTGCACTAGATGTGACCTCACAGAAATTAGAGATGGAAAAGGCCTATGAAGACAAGCCAGAGCCTTGCCTCTTCCCATCACAAAGGACCTGTTCCCTCTTCCAGGAAGGACTCATCAGAGCACTCAATGCTGTCCCAGCAGCTGCAGATGAGAGCACTTTTGATGAGGGTGCCAAGGAGACTTGTTTCCACCTGAATCAACCAATGGCCACAAGTTTGCCTGGTCTGAAATGTGGAAATCTAAGTGGAAACCAGGAGACTTCATTTCCATAGAACCCTAAACAGCGTTCTGAGATGAGACACAGAAATAAGGAACTGCCACTACTGACCCTCTGATCTGTCCACTCTTGCCTCAATACCATTATTCCCAGAGTACTTCTTACCAGCCAAAATGATTCCAAGAAGACTGGCTGAAACTTAGCAGCACTCCGCAGCCAAACACAAAGCCAAGGAAACAAGCTCGGATGGCTATCTGAAAGGGACCCAAAAGAAGCTCAGTCACCCAGCCGTTCAAATGGAGCACTAGCCCAGACTGCAGACGACCCTGGGATAACCAGCCCACTGGCAAGCACACAGAGCTCCTCTGCTCAGAGGTTAAGAGGGTGAAGTAGGGCTGCCTGCGTTCAAATCTCACACCCACCCTCACGGTTGTGTGGCTGTGAGCAAGTTGGCTTCTCTGAACCTCGGTTTCTCATCGCCATCATGGGGATGACAACTGTCCTACCCTTTGGGGTAAAGCACTTACGAGTGCCCGCCACGTACACTTTAGCTGCCATTACTATTACTATTATTCGGGGCTACGGGGAATCTGCTTAACCCTAGTTTATTAGCTGCATTCTCCAAAGTCCGCGCAGGGACTGGTCAGAACACCGGGGACTCTGCGCCCAGTCCTCACCACGTTAACTGTGGAGCTTTTGACCTCACACTTGGCAGCAGGTAGATCTCCACACCTTCAATTACATAAAAGAACTCGTAGGCTCGCTCACTCCCCACCCCACGCGCATCTGTCGCAGCTGTTGAACGGCACGAACTGCAATTTAACACCTACTCCACAGGGTGGAGGGGGCTCGACCTGGAGAGGTGGGGTCCGTCCAGCGACCTAACTCACGGCTGCAGAACTCGGTCGTGAGAGGCAGTTACTGACCAGGGGGAGAAAAGTGTCCCTGAGCCGCGCCACCCCGGATCGACCCTCGCCCGGCCCGCACCTGGTAGCGCGGCGGCCGGTACAGCAGCAGCAGCAGCGCGTTGAGCCCGGCCACGTAGAGCGCCAGCCCGGTGCGGCCCTGCAGGCCGGCGCGCGTGAGCAGCGGTAGCGCGAGCACCGAGGCACCCAGCAGGAAGGTGGCGAGGCTGAGGCGTGCCTCGGAGCCCGGCGGAGCCCGCGCCGCGCAGCCCGCCATGGCGCAGGGCGGCGGACGAGCGGGCGGCGGCGCCGGCGGTAGCCCCGGGAAACCCGCCGGGCGAG